CGTATGAGACACCCTGAGAGTGGACCACCACCTGGTGGTCAGAAACCTGGTCAGCAGGTTTCTAGGACAGTGACAGCTCAGGGCTGCAGACACAGTAGAGGTTCTTAATTTGAAGGCATTCCACCAAGAATGCAAACCCCTTCTGAGAATACTTTCAGATGCACAATGTAAAGCATATAGATTACAAGTGAAACCTATCATAATGAAATATAGGTACCAAAATATTAGAAAATCTATATATATATTGGCTTATAGATGTGCCCTATATATGTAATATGCACATCTCGATTTCTCTTAATGTTTATTTTGAGCGGGGGAGGGACAGAGAGGGAGAGGATCCCAAGCAGGCTCCACCTGGGGCTTGATCTCATGAACTGTAAGATCATGATCTGAGCCAAAATCAAGAGCTGGATGCCCAACTGAGCCACCCAGGCGCCCCTGAATATCTCAATCTTAAATAACAGGAGCTAACAATTAGTACAATAACTGTTATTTCAAAGCGATGAACAAAATTTTGAGGTGTTTGCACAGCAGTAACAGATGAAATCTCTGAATTCTATTGCTGACAGTCTCAGGTACCACTTATCCTAACAGAGCTGGTTGCCTGCATCCATACAGAAAGGAAATACTGAATTTCAGTTAGAGCTTAGTCAAACTAAAAACCAAATCTTTTCCTATCCAGGAACAAAGACACCCTGAATTCTACCCTCGGACCCCTTGCTGGTGATAAGGGAGGTCTTTAGACCCCAGGTTAAGAACCCCTGAATGGGGTTTTAGAAGCATGGCAGAAAAATGCTTTTAAATACAGCAGCTGATAGTTAAGTGCATGACTCTTAGTGAGTGTAATGGGCAGCTGAGAGTGGGAGAGGAGGTGTGGTGGAGACAGCACCTCAGAAGGTCTAATTTGAATTTCATAGGCATCATTTACCAGTGTGGTGAAGTTCAGCCTGACCTTACCCTTGCTTCATATCTATTTGCTCCTCTATAAAATGGGAATGACAATGTCTTCCTCACAGATTCAGTAAGTTAGTATTTGGAAACTCCTGGGGGCCAAATGTTTATTGTTGAATGAGAATGTTGTTCAATGTCTGTAGAGAACACACACACAATATAACTCCTTTCAAAACAGAAACCCACCCCAAGGTCTGACTGGCCGTGTGACCTGGAAAGCACCAGTGCACTGAGAAGATGCTGAACCCTTTCTTGCCTGGCAAATGTGGCTAAGTCTGCTGTGCTGTTTCCACCCCACCCAAGAGAACAAGCACAAATGCAAATAGGGTTTCTCTCCTTTTGCTATTTTATTAGAAGCATATTTACATTCTTGCAGTTAAACTTTGTAGAGAACATTTTACAAAAGTTTTGTATAAAGTTTTGAAACTACATAAAAATAACTTCTATCCTTTATAAAGGGAAAATATAAGTTAGTTATATTTACTCTGCCAAAAACGGACTGAAAACAAGAAACAGTTCCATCTGTCCCTTCCCGAGGAAACATTAGCACGGGGCATGCGGAATACTGCGTGGGCCTTCTCACTGGTGGGCATGCGTGTTGGCTCGATCATGAGGCTGGAGGACCCAACCGGCCCCCATCCAGAAAGGAGAGGGGAGCCATCAGGACTTGGGCAGCACTGAACAGGAAAGCAGCAACTCTTGAACAAGAGTCAAATGTGAATGAAAAGCCAAATAGGGGAATGATCAAAGACTTTCTTCTGAACCACGAAACCATCGTTTCATGTAAATGCCCCTTCTCACACCCCAGGCAATAGTGTAAACACAACCCAAATCAGCCCTGCCTGACCATTTGCCAGGGCCGGCCTTGGCTGGTGGAACCCGGACAGTGTTCTGTAATTACACTGCTGCTAGGTCACATTTTCCCGGCACCTGTGTACCAAAAAGAATAAAAGAGGACAACTGTTTCACTGGTCTCATCTGTGTGAGACCAGAAAACTGCTGCATCTGGGTCAAATACTGAAGCAGGCAAGCTCAAATGTTCACCAACTTAAGAGGACCACTGCCTTCCCACAGCCCGCAGAGCATCTTCACTGCATATGTAAGCCTTGGGAACCCTAAGTCCCTTCTTACTGAATGGTAACCCTCCCTCCCCAAGATCCAGTTACAACCAGTGCCAAGAAACTTGCAGAGAATTGCTGGAGGACAAAGTGTCAAACCTTAACGTGTAGGAGTGAAGAAGGAAAAAGTCCTCCTGGGATGTCAGCCACTCCATCGTGACAAAACAGTACCCAGACTTAATATGTCATCCATGATTTCTCAAACTCGCCTTCAGTTTTCTGTTTTGTTTCTTTAAAGCAGGTTATCGTCCTATAGAAGCCATTTGTTTATATTTGTTTCAAGTTAGAAATCAAAGTGAAAAAAGCTTTCTTTATAAACTGAATGCCTGTTTGAGCATTACTTTTTATCTACATCCTGCAGCCTGTGGGATCAGAATCTGTGGGTGGCCAGCTGAATAACCCGAAGGCCCAGGATTCCATCTGAGAAGCAGCAGCTTTGCATCTGCTCTGTTGCTGGGGGCAGGAAGCATTGCATTTCTCCCTGATGTTTTTTCTTCCTGAACAGAAATCCCAGTGACTACCAGCCTCTGTCTCAAGTATGAGGCCAGACTCCTGCTAGGAGGGGCAGAGGGAAACAGCCTGCAGACAGGATGGGCAAGGATGAGACGGGAACAGCCTAGGCTGTGAAAGTCTTGTGTGGTGAGGAATTTATCCCTGAACACAGCATCCGGCGTAGGCGCCAAAGGGAATCACAGACCGGCAGTTCAGCCTATACCATCTTGTGCCAGTACCCAGCACCCTTCAAACCAATGGCTCCACCTAAACATGCTCAGTGGCACAGGCTCAGGCAATGAGTAGGTTTCAACCCACCTGGCACAAGAGGCCCAGAGCAGAGGCAAGCCTGGGTAATGCCACGGGGCCACGCCTTGTGTATGTATGTGTGTGCAGGCAGAGGGACACAAGATGGCAAGAAACACCCAAGGCCAGCAGAATGAATGATTCAGGCTCTCCTCCAGCCCACTATTGTAGACACAGCCTTGTCTCAAGAGGGAAGCAAATTGGGGGCTACTGAAAGAATGAGGGCACCCCCTGAGCAGCTGGCAGCAGGACGGGCTTCGCTAGGAACTGAAATGGCTGTTAGGAGCCGTGTTCTTGTCTCACACCACACCAAGAATCACAATATGGACAAACTCATGGTGACTGATGGTAGCGCTTTGTGCCCACAGATAGCAAAACTGAAGTTTTGGCAAGCAGGAGGGTCTCAAGGCTGCAGAACACCATTCCTTCCGGGCCGTGACCCCACTAGCAGCCCAAATCACTGACACCTTGAAGGGATGTGGGGCTCAGAGGGGACATACATTAGGATCAGGCAACACATAATAAAACCTCGCCCTCCATGAGTGAGCGAGAATTAAGGAACACTGGGGTGGGTCTGTTGGGCATAGCTGGGGTAACACAAGGCAAGGGGCTAGATGCGAGTTGGCCTGGAAGCAAGAGGGAAGGGGGGGGGGGGGTCCTGAGTTACTTGTTCACAGAGAATGGGAGGGCCTTGGAGGCCCGCCAACCTGCCAGCCACAGCCCCAGGTGGCTGTTAAGAAGCATCCACAGAGCTATAGGGGAAGAACTTGGTGGCCTTGTTTGGGGTGGTAGGGTTCAGGCATTCTGTCTCCTCATTCAGTTTGAAGAACATCTCCTGCTCTCGCTTCTTCTGGTTCAGATCTTCTTCCAGAGCCTAGGACAGAGAGAGGGTGCAGTCAGATGCCATTGGCATGGATCTCCCAAACACAGGACCCCCACCAAAGTGGCCTCCTCTGGAAATTTCCCTTCCCTCCCAACAAGCCTTTGCTGCATGGGTAACTCGGTCTTCCATCTTTCCTTTCCCAGAGTGCATCACCCAGAAGACAGGTACCACCTCTAGCTTCCTTCTTTCACAACCATGCAGGATTTTGTTGTGGATCAAGTGCCATGGTTTGGTGAAATGCCATCTCATTGGGGGGGGGGGGGGGGGGGGGCGGTACATGCCAGTCTCCTGGCAGGAAAACAATCGAATGGAGAAAGACCCAAGGTAGAAAATGGACAGATTTAACAGTGGGTGATTGGGGGGAGGGGGGAGGACAGGGCCAGAATGTCCAAGTACATTGTGTTCCTAATGAGGATACTGCCCCACAGAAATTACCTAGGGAGTTGTCTTCAAAACTCATGTGCCTTCCCACCATCTCCTGACACTGTGATTCTGAAAACCTGCAGTACGACGGGTTCTTTGTGTTGTAAAAGCCCATTTGGTAACTCAGAGCAAGTGTCTAGTGTCTTGGTTGAAGTTCTCCTTTGCCAGATGTATTAGCATTTTTTTAATTATGTTTTTTAGGGGCGCCTGGGTGGCTCAGTGGGTTGAGCATCCGACTTCAGCTCAGGTCATGAGCTCACGGTCTGTGAGTTTAAGCCCCGCGTCAGGCTCTGTGTTGACAGCTCAGAGCCTGGAGCCTGTTTCAGATTCTGTGTCTCCCTCTCTCTCTGCCCCTCCCCCACTTATGCTCTGCTCTGTCTCTTAAAATATGAATAAACGTTAAACATTTTTTTAATCTTAAAAAAATACGTTTTTTAAGTTTTTAATTTTTATTTTGAGAGAGAGAGGGAGAGAAGCAGCGGGGGGGGGGGGGTGGAGAGAGAGGTGGGGACAGAGGATCTGAAGCAGGCTCTGTGCTGACAGCAGAGAGCCCAATATGGGGCTCAGACTCACGAGCCATGAGATCATGGCCCGAGATGAAGTTGGACGTTTAACTGACTGAGCCACCCAGGTGCCCCCGGATATGTTAGTGTTAAAAGTGTTTGTGGTAAGCAAACATTATATATAAGCAAGATATAAGTGGTACTGTGTAAGCTCTTGTAACAAGTTACAAAATCCAGTGCCTATGGGAGCCAGCCAGATGAACTGAATGAAGAAAGAGAGCTGGGTGTGAGGCAATAGGGAGTGAGGAGGACTGCGGTGAGGTGAAGAGCACACACTGTGTCTGAAGATGGCGGTTTCTTTTCTCCTCCAGCTGATGTCTGTCACGTGGTACAATGAGCCCAGTGTGGCCAGAGCTCCTGGATTCACAAAAGAAACTGGAAAGCCAGATTCTTATGAAAAATTCCCTTACACAGGCATTCCCTCGGAGATGGTACCAGACTACTGCAATAAAGTGAGTATCATGATACACAAATGAATTTTCTGATTTCCTAATGCGTATGAAAGTTGTTTATAAAAAGTTATGTTTATAGTACACTGTGGTCTAAGTGTGCAACAGCCGTGTCTAAAAAAAAATGTATGTACCATAATGAGCACATACTTTATTGGTAAAAAGTGCTAAACGTCATCTGAGCTTTCAGCAGTTCATGACGTTTTTGCTCGTGGAGTGTCTTGCCTCAGTGTCGATGGCTGCTGATTGAACGAGGTGACTGCTGACGGTGTGGCTGTGGCAATTTTTTTATTATTGACATATAATGTTATGTTTTGGGTGTGCAACATAGTGACGACAGTTTTGTACATTACGCTATGCTCACCAGGGTAAACGTAGTTATTTCTTAATTTTTACTACTGAGGTATAGTTCACATACAATTCCTTAAAATAAGACAATGATGAAGTCTGCCACATTGATGGACCCCTCCTTTCACAATTTCTCTGTAGCCTGTGATACCGTTTGACAGCATTTTACCCACAGTAGAACTTCTTCCAAAACTTGAGTCAGTCCTCTCAAACCCTGCCTCTGCCTTATCAACTAACTTCATGAGATATTCTAAATCCTTTGTTGGCATTTCAACAGTCTTCACCAGGAGTAGGTGTCACCGCCAGAAACCGTTTTCTTTGCTCATCCATCATCAGCAGTTCATCCTCTGTTCGAGTTTCACCCTGAGACGATAGCAAGTCCACCACATCTTCAGGCTCCACTTCTAATCCAGTTCTCTTGCCATTTCCACCACATCACAGTTACTGTCTCCACTGAAGTCCTGAACCCCTCAAAGTCACCCACCTCTTCCAAAGCCCTGTTCATGTTGATATTTTGACCTCTTCCATGAATCACGAATGTACTTAATGGCATCTAGAGTGGTGAATCCTTTCCAGAAGGTTTTTAGCTTACTTTGCCCAGATCCATGAGAGGAATCACTACCTATGGCAGCTATAGCCTCATGAAATTGTAGTTCTTAAATAATGACACTGGAAAGTCAAAGCTACTCCTTGACCACGGGCTGCGGAATAGATATTGTGTTACCAAGCATGAAAACAACATTCATCTTTTTTAGAAAAATAATAATCTTGTTGTACATCTCCATCAGAGCTGTTGGGTGACCAGGCACACTGCCAACGAGCAGAAGATATCAACAGCAGGTTTGAAATACTCAGTAAACCATGCCGTAAACAGATGTGCTATCATCGAGGCTTTGCCGTTCCATTTATACAACACAGGCAGGATACAGCATAATTCTAAAAGGCCCTATGATTTTCAGAATGGCAAATGAGCACTGGCTTCCACTTAAAGTCAATAGCCGCACTAGCCCCTGACAAGAGAGAATCAGCCTGTCCTTTGAAGCTCTGAAGCCCAGCATGGACTGTTCCTCTCCAGCTCTAAAGTCTTCTCCTGACATAAGGCTGTTTCATCTATATTGAAAATCTGTTGTCTAGTGTAGCCAACTTCACGAATTCCCTTCGCTGCATCTCCTGGATAACGTGCTGCAGCTTCTACATCAACACTAGCTGCTTCACCTTGCACTTTCACGTTCTGGAGACGGTGTCTTTCGTTAAGCCTCATGAACCAACCTCTACTAGCTTCAGACTTTTATTCTGCAGCTTTCTCACCTCAGCCTTCATAGCACCGAAGACAGGTTAGGGCCTTGCTCTGGATTAGGCTTAGCTTAAGGGAATCCGTGGCTGGTTTGATCTTCTACCTAGATCATAAAAATTTTCTCCCTTTCAGCAGTAAGGCTGTTTAGCTTTCTTATCATCCATGTATCCATTGAAGTAGTACTTTTAATTAAAAAATTCTCCTTTGCATTCACAACTCGACTGTAGCTGTTTGGTGGGAAAGGACAGTATCTCAAGTCTCAGCGTGCCTTCCTCACTAAGCTCGATCATGTCTAGCTTTTGATTTAAAGCGAGAGACATGCAACCCTTCCTCTCACTTGACCACTTCGAGGCCACTGTAGGGTTATTCACTGGCCTCATTAATTTCACTAATACCGTGTCTCATGGAATGAGGCCTGAGCAGAAAGGAAGAGAGCCGGAGGAATGGTCAGTCAGTGGAATAGTCAGAATACACAACAGTTCGCCATCTTTTTTCCCCATAAAATGCATTTTTATTGTTTCTGTTGAAGTATAGTTGACACACAACGTTACATTAGTGTGAGGTATATACAACATAGTGATATGACAACTCTGTACACTAGGCTGGGCTCACAAGGGTAGCTGCCATCTGTCACCGTATAATGCTGTTACCGTTTTATCCCATCCCCTCCTATCAGTTCTCTGTATTCATGGGTTTTGTTCCTGCTTTTTGTTTACTTTGCTTTGTTTAGATTCCACATATAAATGAAACATATGGCACTTGTCTTTCTGTGTCTGGCTTATTTCACTTAGCATAATACCCTCTAGATCCATCCATGTTGTCCAAAATGGCAAAATCTTGTTTTTTTAGGACTAATACTCCATTATGTGTGTGTTATATATGCAGTCATCTATCTAGTGATGGACACTTGGGTTACTTCCCTATCTTGGCCATTATATATAATGCTGCAGTAAACAGGAGTGCATATAGCTTTCCAAATTAATGTTTTTGTTTTGTTTTCCAAATATCCAGTAGTGGGATTACTGGATCATATGGTATTTCTATTTTTAATTTTTTAAAATATGTATATATTTTAAAGTTTATTTATTTTTGAGAGAGAGAGAAACAGAGCATGAGTGGGGAGGGGCAGAGAGAGGGAGACACAGGATCAGAAGCAGGCTCCAGGCTCCGAGCTGTCAGCACAGAGCCCGACGTGGGGCTGGAACCCACGAACCGCGAGATCATGACCTGAGTCAAAGTCAGACGCTCAACCGACTGAGCCACCCAGGTGCCCCTCTGTTTTTAATTTTTTAAGGACCCTCCATACTGTTTCCCATAGTGGCTGCACCGATTTACATTCCCACCAACAGTGCACAAAAGTTCTTTTTCCTCTGCATCCCTGCCAACACTTGTTAATTTCTGCTCTTTTTGATACCTAGCCCTTCTGATAGGTATAAGGTAATACCTGTTTGTGGTTTTGATTTGTAGCTCCCTGAGGATTGGTGATGTTGAGCATCTCTTCATGTATGGTTGGTCAAATATAGGTCTTTGGAAAACTGTCCATTTTTAATCAGATTATGGGGGGGGGGGGGTTGGTATTAAGTTCTTTATGTATTTTGGATATCAACCCCCTATTGGATACATCATTTGCAAACATTTTTTTCCCATTCAGTAGGTTGCCTTTTCATCTTGTTGACGGTTTCCTTCATTCGCTATGCAAAAAACTTTGTGGAGTTTGGAGCAGCCTCAATAGTTTATTTTTGCTTTTGCTTCCCTTGCCTTAGAAGACATAGCTAAGAAAATGTTGCTGTGCCTGATGTCAGTTCACCATCTTTTGTGGTCACAAAACAATTATGACAGTAACATCAAAGATCACTGATCACAGATTACCATCACAAAATAATGAAAAAGTTTAAAATATTGCAAGAATTATCAAAAGAGACACACAGAGACATGGAGTGAGCAAATGCTGTTGGAAAAAGGACACTGGTAGATTTACTCACCATGGGCTGCCACAAACTTTCATTTTGAAGGGAGAAAAAAAATGCCATTATCTGTGAAGCGCCATAAAACAAAGTATGCCTGTACTTAAAGGTTGGCAACTTTCAAAAAATTTTGAAATTTCTATATGTTGGCCAAACCTAATGCCTGTGCGCCAATTTCAGCCCATGGATAATCAGTCTGTGACCTCTGCTAAAGAATAACAATTTAATTATAACGGCTACCACTTTTTGAACAGAGAGCTTTAGTAACTTGCCCCGCGTTTCATAGCTAGTAATAGGGGAGCCAGGACTTCATCCAAAACCTGTGCTCTTAAGCGCTACTCTCTTCTACCTACCATATATATTCATGTATATAACCTAAGGCAGGAGTCTAATCTTTTTTCTGTAAAGGGCCAGATTATAAATATTTTCAGCTTTGCAGGCTGTGAAGTCTCTGTCACAACCACTCAAACTGCCGTTGTACTTCAAACTCGGCCACTGACAATGTGTAAATGAACGAGCATGGCTGTGTTCCAATAAAATTTTATTTACAAATACAGATGGTAGGCCAGATTTGCCCATGGACAATAGTTTACTAACACATGCTTTAAGGGAAGAAATGTTCTATCTACATTTTACAGTCCTAAAAAGCAAAGGTTGCGAAGGGAGGACTGGTCTGAGGCCACATTCTGTGTCAGCCGTGACCCAAGCAACACTTTATGGATGCTACCAGATATTCTATACTTACTTGAAAGAATTAAGTCTGAAGTTTTCTAAAAATATTCCACAGTGTACAGTCATCTCTCTTCCCCTGTATAGCTCAAGATTGCTGACTGTAACACGAGGGTGAAAGAACATTTCTATCACCTCTGGTTAAGTGTTCCAGCAGTAACCCAGGTAGCTAATGACAATTCTACAAAGAACTCTGCGAAACAGCAGCCCCCAGAGGCAAAATCCAATGCCAGCTCCCCAGACATACACCACAGTACCTACCCCCCAAACCCAGGTGCCCCTGAAATAGGAGGCAGTTGCTAGAGGCAACCTGACCATTCATCTTCAAACTCTCTCAGGATGTGCCAAGGGTATAGAACCACCAGGTCAGAGAACCAGGTGAACGTCTGTTTCCTGATACTAGAGTCAACCGATGTCAGCAGGAGCATTATTGATTTGAGTGTCAAGTATCAAAAGGCCCAACAGGCCATGATTACAGAAAATGACGAACATGGGCCTGCTGCCAGGAAGGTCCAGGACCCTGGCCAGCTGCCAGCCATAAAGCTCCATTAGCACAGGTTAGGGAAGCCTCAATTCAAGGACTTACAAGGCCATTACTTAGCTGAGGTGGGCAGCTGCCTCTTGTCCAGACCACAGTGAAAGCAAGCAGAGCTGATGTATGATGGCAGAACAAACCTCAAGGCTTCAAAACATGTGATCAAGGGTAATTAAGGCAGCTCTCTCCTCAGAGAGCTTAGGGGTGGAAGGAAATGAGGATGTCCTTGGTATGCACTACGGGCTGATGACTTTTTTGCATCACACGGTACAATATTCACATCTGCACTTTACAAATGACCACACTGAGGCCCTGTGATGGTTAATTTTATGTGTCAACCTGGCAAGACATGGCACCCAGTTGTTTGGTCACACACCCATCAAGATGTCACTGTGAAGGAATTTTTAGATGTGATTAAAATTTAACTCAGTAGACTTTGAGTAAAGCAGATTACCCTCCCTAACATGGGTGGGCCTCAAAACTGCAACATCACCTCTTTCCTGGATCTCCCGCCTACAACCTGCCCTGCAGATTTCAGACTTACTAGCCCTCCACAATCATATGAACCAACTTCCTAAAGTAAATCTGTATCTTATCTATATTCACATCCTAGGCAGACGCCTGTGGCTCAACATGGAGAAAAGCCTACTATTGAGCCCATGAGCCCAGACGTGATTACCTTTTTGCGTGGCCGAAGCTTGTCCCGCCATTCCTTCAGGTTCTGATTATGGCTCTCATCTAGGGCCTTCAGCTTCTGGGTTTCATGTTCTACCAGGAGGTGACACTTTTCATTCTGGAACAAATTCCAGGCAGAACAGGTAAGAAAACTTAGAAGGCAGAGGTGCAGAAGGCTGAAACATACCTCATGCTGTAGCCAATGACGGCACCAGCATTATTATTATTTCTTCCCTTTGATTGTAATTTATAGGAAACTATGCATATAAATACATACCAAGAGATGCCTGGAGGAACATTTCAGAATATTCATGTTAATAGTTCTTATTGTGTAGTGGAATCTGCAGTAATTTGCACTTTACTTCTTTGTGCTATTTTGCATTGTTTGAATTTTTCAACATGAACATATGTCATTTTAACAAAACAGTAAAACTATTAATAATAAATAAAAATGTGTCCTAATCCCACCACTAGAGGCAGCCACTGCAAAAATGTGATTTTCTGGCAGCCTCTGTCCTAAATGTTGTTTAGCTCACCCTCTATATACAATTCTGAAACCTGCTTTCCCACCACCCTTAACATTATAATGTAAATATTAATTAACTTCTAAAGAATTAACATTTTTCATTGTTTTTAATGAAAATTTTAATGCCTACAGAGTATCCCACAGCATAGATTCATCAAATCTACTTAAATATTCCTCCATTTTTGGTCACTTAGGTTGCTTTTAATTTTCACTATGTTTTTTTATTATTTTTAAAAAAAAAAATTTTTTTTTCAACGTTTATTTATTTTTGGGACAGAGAGAGACAGAGCATGAACAGGCGAGGGGCAGAGAGAGAGGGAGACACAGAATCGGAAACAGGCTCCAGGCTCTGAGCCATCAGCCCAGAGCCCGACGCGGGGCTTGAACTCACGGACCGCGAGATCGTGACCTGGCTGAAGTCAGACGCTTAACCGACTGCGCCACCCAGGCGCCCCTTCACTATGTTAAATAGCATTGTATTAACCATTTGTGCTATGGACTGAATCGTGTCCCCCCAAGGTTCATATGTTGAAGCCCTAACCCCCAGTGTGGTGGTATCTGGAGGTGGGACCTTTAGGAGATAATTACATTTATTTCTTTTTTAATGTTTATTCATTTTTGAGAGAGAGCATGAATGGGGCAGAGGGGGAAGGGGACAGAGGATCTGAAGAGGGCTCTGCACTGACAGTAGCGAGCCCCACACGGGGCTGGAACTCATGAACTGTGAGATCATGACCTGAGGTGAAGTCAGCCGGTCAACCAACCGGGCCACCCGGGTGCCCTGGGGATAATTAAATTTAGATAAGGTCCTGGGAGTGGGGCCCTTATGATGGGATTAGTGTCCTTACAAGAGACACTGGGAAGGTTGCTTTCTCTTTCTCCGTGCCATGTGAGGACACAGCAAGAAGGCAGCCATCTGCAAGCCAGAATCCAACCGCAATGACAACCTGATTTTAGATTTCCAGGTTCCAAAATTATGAGAAACGAAACTGTTGTTTAAGCCGCCAGACTGGTATTTTGTTATGGCAGTCAGAGCTCAGATAATCTGTATGTATAAATATTTATATAAATTATATATGTAATTTTCTGTATTATGTATCATTTCCTCAGGAGAGATTTGTGTAAAGATGAGGACATGGACCTGACAGAGACACTCCCAACTTTATTATTCTCTGAGGTAAGTCATCCGCCTCACAAAATTTACCTGGAATTTCTCGCAAGGCAGAAGTGATCAGTCCCTGTTGATCCTCACAGAGAATCCATCTTGTGGTTTATAAGGCATTTATAAAGCAAGAGGAAAGGGTCTCCATCCAGATACCTCAATCGTTTGGGGTTGGAAGAGTGGGACACCTTGGGGGGATTTTCATTTTGGGTTTCAACTCAAGGCTCCCGAGAGTTTAGAAATCAGTTTAGTTAGAAATAATACTACAGCACGGAATACCTTTGACCTGCTAGAAGCTGGGCTCCTGGCACTTTCTGTGGGTTCTCTCAGTTAATCCTCCCAGTCACCCCGTGAGCAGATGCAGAAGCTGAGGGAGTTGGCTAAAATTTACAGTGACAAACGACAGAGTCCCTACCTGACAGGCTTCAATGCCTGTCACGTTTCCTCCACCCCTCCTTGCGTCTCCAGAAATTGCCAAATGGGTGCAAGAGCCTGAGCAATTTCCTGAAGTCACAGGGGTTTGAGTCTGCCCATCCCTCGGGCATGACAATGCCTTGCTCCGCTGCAAGGAGGCTCCAAGTACCGGCTCCTGGGGTGGCGCCCTTCAGGCAGGGACAAGCTCAGGAGTCAGGAAACTGGAAGAGGCCAGGATCTCCCGAGGGAAAGGGGTCACCAAGAGGCTGGCAACACCAAAACAGCCTTCCCTGATCTCAGTGGGAAAGCTTTGCGCTTCTGACCGTTAAGGATGATATCAGCTGCAGGTTTTATCAAGTTAGGGAAGTTCCTCTCTATTCCTGTTTTTACTGAGAGTGTTGTTGTGAATGAGTGCTGGGTTTTGTCAAATGCTTTTTCTGCGTCTGTTGCTGTGATCATGTGATTTTTCTTTAGCCTGTTATGTTGCGGATTGCACTGATTTTTGAATGTTGAGCCAGCCTGGGATAAAGCCTACTTGGTCATGGTGTATAATTCTTTCTATACATTGTTGAAGTTGATTTGCTAATAATATCTCGTTGAGGCATTGTTTGCCATCTTCCTTACTTGTAATGTCCGGTTTTGGTATTGGAGTAACTTGGACACCTTGTCCCAAGACACAGTGATGAACCAGAAGCCCAGCACAGGCCACTGCCAGGCCCCAGGCGCGGCACTTTCAGCTCAGTCCTACCAAACAGGAATTCTCACCCCCTACCCCATCCCCATTTTATGGATGCAGGAACTATGGCTTGGAAGATGATGGATCTGGCCAGCATGACACGGCAGGATCGAACCGTTTTAGCCCGGGCTTGTCTGACGAGAGTCCTTCCCTACTGTAGAGTCTGTGGTCCCAGGGAACAGAGGCGATGTGAGAAGGGGGGCGGGGAGGCCTGTACCTGTAGCTGCTGCAGCTCGCTCATGTTGCTGTCACACTGTGCCACCATGTCCCGCATCTGGTTCTCATGCTTTTGCTGCTGCTGTAGCCGCTCCGACTTCTGCCTTTTCTCCTCTTGCTGGGAGAACTGGAACAGAGGGAGGGTGGGTGCCTCAGAGGGTCACAGGCCGGGCGGGGGGGTGGGGGGAGCCTCTACCCCCACCCCATTCCAGAAAGCCCCGTCAGAGGGGCTGGTTTGTGCACAGCCCTAGTGCCCTACACCATTCAGGTCATGCTCTCTTCCTGAGCAGAGACCCAGGCTGGTGGGGACACAACGTTGTGCTGTGCCACATGCTAAGACAACGTGCGTTACCACACAGGAATCACGGGAGCCCAGGGCCACCAGCGCCATGTCCCCAAGATGAATGGGTGACATGCAAGTGGGGTCTTGGTGGATGAGAAGAAGGGGTTTACCAGCAGAGGAAGCCGCAGGATCGAAGCACCACAGTGTGAAAGGGAACCGTGCATGAGAAAGCAACACCAAGCTTCCCCCTCTGTCCACCGGAGGGACATTCGCCGTGGAGCTTGTGAGGCTTCCAGGCTATGACCAACACCCCCCTTCCAAGACCCCGTACTGCAGCTTGTATTTCTATTCCCCAAGCCACATAAAGTTCAGGCCCCACCAAACCAGCATCTGCAGTACACGCACAGATCAAGCCCCCACCTGCTTGATCTTCTCGCGCTGCTCAGAGGCACTGCCCGCGCCATTAATGTGGAGGCTCTTCTTGTACATGGCCATGCGCGTCTTGCCCTCGCTCCTCTGAATCTTGGGCAGCCGTGCTTTCTCCTGCTGCTGCCGTACCTTCAGCTGCTCCACCATGCGCTGGTTGTAGCGTTGCATCTGCTCCCGCTCCTGGGGGCACAGCCAGCGGGGCTGAGGTCAGGTGTGCTCTGGGCCGGGGGTGTGATCAGAGGCCAAAGGCTGCCACCCTCCACTCGGGAGCCCAGGACACACGTGGCCCTGAATGGTCAGCAGAGCAAGTCTGGCATCATTTTACCTCTACTGTTAATTTTTTAAGTGAGAACAGAAAATGTTACTCTTTGTTAGTAACGCTTTGGATTTTTACCTTCTAAATGTCTTCTCATCTAATCAATGGTTGGCATGTCATTAAAGCTAATACCTCAAAGCAAGACATACACTACTGATGGCAGATGTCAATTCATACTTTTAAAAGTCATGATAAATTTAAGTTTTTCCTTCACCTAACACCTATTTGTATTTCAAAACTTGGCATGGGTATCACCTCCTCCAGGGAGCCTCCCCTGACTTCCAAGCCAGGTTGAGCACCCTTATTCAGAGCCGCCACAGCCCAAAGCTGTTTGTCCATCATTGCATTTAGATTAGGAATTGTAATTATCCACTAATTGTGCATCCAGATCTCAGTTTGTCCCTGCTCCCACTAAGGGGACCAAATCAAGACAATTACATAGAAGTAAGAGAGTGCTCTGGCCGCACAGAGCAGGGTCCCTTGCCTGGTCTGAGGGAGGTAAGGAAGGCTTCCTGGCAGAGGTGGTGATTAAGTTGAGACTTAAAAGTATTCCGAGGGAATGCACGTGAAAGAGAGAGATTAGGGGAAAATGGAAAGGTCACGGAGAAGAGGAAAAAGTGAAAGGCACACACTAAGGTGTCTAAGTCAGTGAGGGAGCTGCCATCTGCTTCCCTGCAGGGCTTCCCCCATTCCTGGCCCTTTCATCGGAGGAAGGACACCTCACAGAACCTCCCAGGGCCTTACCATGACCGACGCCTGCCTCCTCTTGGGAGCACAGATGGTACCCAAGTGGTGCCCCACTTGGCCCTCCCAGAGCTTCCGGTGGCAGCCCCATGCCCCGCCCAAGTCGGGACCTCACCTTCTCGTGCTTGCGCACCAGCTCATGCCTCTGGAGGAAGTACTGGTCTTTGAGCTGCTGCTTCACCAGCTGGTGCCTCTCCTGTAGGTGATGCTCCTCCATTTCCCACAGGGCTGCCTCCCGGTCTGTGGACGACACGAGGCCTGGTGAGATGCTAATGGCCAGAGCGCCACTGAGCGCTGCCCTGCCCTCTCCTGCATCAGATGTTAGCTCCCAGGAGCCTGGTACACCAGGAAGCGAATGGAGCCAGGAACCAGAGAAACCAGAGACCGAGGCTAGAACCCAGCTCCTTCACTGGGGTTTGGGACGGGTAACAAATCCTCTCCAGGTCTCCACTTCCACCTCTACCAAACGTGTGCAACCATTCCGTGGAGGCAGAAATGGTCTTGGGAGACCATTATGTTCAGCTCACAGTGCACTGCTGCTTTCCTAATGGGCCAGTGGGAAGGGCTCACGAAACCCCATGAAGAAGACAGGAACAGCCTCCTGTCACTATTTACTCCTTTGAAGAATGGACGAGACCCTCCTTGGCCACTGTACATCCCTTATGTATACATTATTACTAAGACACAGCATCTGGCATTTTATCACTGGAAGTCTATTAATTGACCTTCTTCTGCTCAGCCACAGGCACGGAGGTGGCGTCAGATGAAGACTTCATGCCCTGTAAGACACGGAGCGGGTGGTGCTCAACCCACATGAATGTTCATTTCATTTCATTGCGTTCCTGATCTATGAAAACTGGTAACTACCCACACAGTACATCACAACAGTGATTTGGCTTCCTATCAAAGTCGAAAGCGCTGTCCCACAAGTAGGGTGGTTCCGGGCTTTCCTGAAACCGCGGTGGCTTTTCAGAACGTCAGAACATCAAGGACCCCGTTTTGCTGCCCCACACCAAGTACTGAGGGGTTTACAAGGCTTGCCTGCACCGGCCATCACAGCCCTGGCCACAGCACCTGCTGTGTAAGTAAGCCAGAGATGGCGCCTGTACAACCGGCCCTATGTTGTTTACGTCTTTACCGCAGGCTGGACTGTTGACTCTCAGAAGCCCACGGGTGCCAAACTCTGAACTTCTCCCATCCAACTGTTTCAAGTGTAGCTCAAACAGCAGACTTTTGGCCATTCAGAGCCCACCTGCTTTGCACGCCCCACAAAACTGCACCCAACATCCGCTAGGCATAGAGAAGATAAACCTAAGGGGCTAAAGAAAGACCCTAAGCCCTGCTGCCCTTCAGAACTCTACCCCAGAACCTCCCCTGCTAGTGACCCCATCCAGATACAGAAGCCCTCTCTCCGTACCCTAGAGTTCCTCTGCCCTCCTCCCTCCGGGAGTGGCCTGCACTAGTGTCTCTGGAAGGTCTTGGGCTCGAAGGACTTGCCAGCCCGCAAACCCGTCAGAGCACGAGCACACCAGAGCAGTCAGGAACTCGGCTTCAAGAGGAGATCCACGTTCAAGGCTCATTCTACCACGCATTAGCCAAGCAACCCCGGCCCAAGCACAGTGGCTCTTGCAAGCCTTTGTTTCCTCGTCTACAAAAACAACTTGTCAGGTTAAGGTGAAGATTCAAGGAGAGAGAGCCATGAAAACTGGCACACAGCCTGGCACAGCCGTCACTCCATGTGTGATGGATGTCATAAGGGGCACGATACTTTCCCCACCACCCCGTAGTTCCCACCCACTCTACATGGCTTGCTGGCTTTCTTCCTTCCTCAACCTTAGGAAAGAGGTCATATAATGTCGGCTCTGTGCCTCAGTCCT